CCCAGTCGTCTTTGTTCATTGATCTCTATCTCCACCCTAAGGGAACTCAGGCCCACTAACATTGATTGGTTGATTGATCAATTCATTCATTCATTCATTCATTCATTCAACCAAGAAATTTATTGAGCACTTTCTGTGCAACAGTAGGAAAAAGGGTGGCTGAGGCCCTCCCCTCCCTCACCTCCCCTTATAATTCTAGTTGGGGGAGATGGTGAATGAACAGGTAAAGAGCGATGATTGCAAGGAGCGTGGAGAGTTACAGCGGAAAGAAACCAGGGGTGTGAGCAGCTGTGGAGGGTGAGGGGCCCCTTTACATGGGAGGTGCCTCAGGGGCGGCCTCTTGCTGGAGATGATGATGAAAGCAGAGACCTGAGGAATCGGGCACCAGTCGGTGTGAAGGAGAGAGGGGGCAGGAGGACAGAGGCCTGGAGGCAGCCCTGGGACCCTCGGGGTTCCGGCTGGGCTCCCCGGCCAGCCCCGCCACACCCTCTGACCCCCGCTCCCTCTCCAGATGAGCCAGGGCCTCCAGCCAGAGTCCTTCAAGGCTGGGAGAGGAGGACTCCCCATGAGCAGAAATGGGGATCCCACGGAGACCACTGCTCAGCCCCTCGGACAAGACTAGGGTCCCCGCACCCCACCCCGCAGGGATTCAGGCCCCTTTCCCCAGTTTATAATCCAGGGTCCTGGGCCAACCCTCCTGGCATCTCTGTCCAGCCCAGCGTCGGGTCTGGGTGTGGGAGGCCGTCCCTGCGAGCGGCCCATGGTGATCCCTGCACCCCCCTCTCTCTCCTCGCAGTTCTGAAGGGGAAGAAGCTGAGTTTGCCGGCGTAGCCCTGGTCCTCGCCCTCCCTCTCCCTGGCAGCGGAGGACGGTGATGGGAGACGAAGAGCCTTCCTGTCCAGGGGTGACTTTTTTAAGAACCAACTTTTCCCCACTCCCCACCTTCCTCCTGCCGGGTTCCAGGGGGTGGTGGAGGACCCAAGACTTGGGGAAGCTCAGGACCTGGGCTGTTTGTAGTTTTTTGCCTTTTAGAGAAGAAAAAAAAAATCTTTCCACGATTTAGTTTTTGATTCTGATGACTCCTTTCTCTTCTACTCTCTGGCCCTGATTTTTATAAACCGTTTCAAGTATTCTGTATGGGAAGGGGGCAGGGGGGAGATCTTTTCTCTCTCCCAAGCCCCTTAGCTCCCTTCCAGACCCTCCTCCCAGCCCCACTGTTTGCCAAACACTAAATCTCCCTACACGGCCTTCCCGACCTCCACCCAGGACACAGCGCCTGCCCCCCAAACTTCTGGGCTGGGGAAAGGCGGAGGGGAGGAATGGTCCGCCATGATTTTTCATAATTTCCCCCCAGAGTTTGGGGTTTTTAGTCTGGTCCTCGTTTTTTGGGCATTTAGGGGGCTGGCTCCAGGGTCACCGGGACTCTGCCACCATGTTTTTTGTACAGAATGGATGGTTGATTCTTTGTTCTCTTGAAATAAACCGAGGAAAATGATGCCTCTCTTTTGCTACTCCTTGCCCTCTCTCTGGCGTTTGTGGGGTCCCGCCCCAGGCCCCGTCTGCTTCTGCTTTGCCCCGTTGACCGTCCGCAGGCGGCCGAGGCCTGGGAGGAGCAGGGAGACGAGAGACTGGGTTTCCTGAGACTCGGAGCTGTACCCCGAGTCCTCACGGGGGAAGATGCTTTGGAGAAAAAAAGATCCCGAAGATTCCTCCTGTCGTAGCGCAGAGCTTCCCTGGCTGTTCCCCCGAACCTCAGGGTTACAGGGACCTGGGGAGGCCGCCCCCCACCAGGCAGCCCCGTCCCACCCTCATCTGGCATTTTATTGAACCATTCTGTTTCTTACAAAAAAAAGGGGGGGATCAGTTGCCAGTCTTTAAAAAGCAGAGTTTCACATGAAAATCGGAATTTCTGGCTTCTCTTGAAAGAAATCCGTCAGAGTGACGATGCCTGGTCCTCCCTTCGGGCGGCAGCAGATGGCTGGGCTGAATGGATGGGGACGAGCTTCCCGCCCTGTCCCAGGGCTTGGCTGAGGGTCCTTGCTGTTCATTATTGGCCTGACGCGTCCTTTTCTGGTTTTGTTTGTGGAGTTAAAAGGGGGCTGTTTTCCACGCCTCCCGCCAGAGTGGCTGGGCACCTGGCCTGTCCCCTTCCTTGGCCTTCCCTGCCTGGCCCTCGGACGCTTTGGGGGTCGGGCCCCCGGCTTCAGACTCCCTAGACGTCTGCTGAGACCCCTCGCCGCCCAGGTCTCCGGAGGATGGCTCCGGAAGCTTCAGGAGGTGGTAGCCGGCCATCCCTGAGCATTCTGCTAGTGCCCGGCCACGTGGGTTTCACGGAGGAGCCCACTGGGCCCTCAGCACCCCTGAAGGGGGCCCTGGAGGAGGAAACAGGCCTGGAGGGCGAGTGGCAGAGGCGGGTCTGTGCCGGCTTCCTCACCGAGCCTGTGTTTACTCACTGCTGTGGGGTATTTCAACTATTCACGTCTTTCTTCCTTTTAAGCCGAGGGGCCTCCTGTTTAGAAGAATGTTGCCCAGAAGCCTGGGAGATAAGGTGACAGGGGCAGCGGGGACAGGGCTGCGAGGGTGGGTTTGGGGCTGGGAGCCGCACCTCTTTGAATGCGTGGGGTCTGGAAGCCGTCACTCTCGGGTCCCAGTCCCTAGCGTTGCAGCCAGCACAGGTCGGGCCCAGATAAGCTAAGTGAGAGTCCCGGCTTATCCAGCCGGCCGCACAGTGAGGACGAGAGCCCGAATCCTCCCTGCCCTCCACGCCACCTCTCCACGTCTCCCCACGCCCACGGGGGCCGTCCTGTTCTGTATCCCCAGAACTGGGCACGGGGCCTGCCAGGTAGGAAACCTCACAAGGCGACCAGGGAGCCCACATCTGACCCCCCACAACTCGCATCCCTTTGTCCAGTTTGTAAATGGATGCTCTGCAGGCCGCCGTGCGTGACTCTCGTGTGAGTGTTTTGTTTGGCCGGCATGACACGAAAAAAGTTCGCATAGTGTCCGATGGTTCTAGAAAGACCGGAAGGTTCTAGCTGCGTGGCCCAATGTGGTGGCCATCGGCGACACGTGACCATTAGCACGTGAAATGGGGCGGGTCCAAACTGAGATGTAAAATACGCAAAGGGTTTCGAAAGCTCGCTGTGAGAGAATGTAAGATATCGGGGAATTTTTTATACTGATGACTTGTTGAAATAATATTTTGGATATACTGGGTTAAATAAAATATATGAAAATTCACTTCACTTGTTTTGTTCTACTTTTCTATTTAAAATTCCATGCCCTGCCCGGCTGGTGTTGGTTAGTGGTTGAGTGTCAACCTGTGAACCAAGAGGTCACGGTTCGATTGGTGGCTAGGGCACCTGCCTGGGTTTGGGGCTCGATCCCCAGTGGGGGGCGTGCAGGAGGCAGCCGATCAATGATTCTCTCTCATCATTGATGTTCCTATCCCTCTCCCTCTCTGAAATCAATAAAAATATATTAAAAAAAAAAATTCCACGCCCTGTGGCTCCCATTATATTCAATGGGCCAGTGGTGCTCTAGGCACCCCAGGCCCATGGCGCCGAGTGTGGGTGCTGAGTGAGGGCGCCCCTCCTCGACACGGCCCCTCCCCCCACTATGCACTTACTGGCTGCCTCACCCACTGGGGTTACCTTTTTGGTCCTACAGACAGGAGCATTTTGTGGCCGGTGTGTGAGTCCTCCGTGAGCTTGGGATTCTCGATAAAACCACTCCATCTTCCCCAACAATCCTCCAAATATTTGAAGATAAGGATCCCCCCTCCCTGACCCCAGTCAGGACTCACCACCCCTGTTCCGTTACCGACTCCTCCCGCAGCTGGCTTTTTAGTTGGGTCCCTTGTCACTGGAGGGAGTGAAAGGGCTTGGGCTTTGGGGTCCCAACAGGGCTGGTCCCACGGTTGACCCTGACTCTCAGCGCGCTCTCTGAACTTGAACTTCCTCCACTGCCCCCTCCATGGCTAAGGCGAGGAGCGACGTCCCTCTCCTGTCCCCACCTCTAATGTGCAGCTATCACGGTGGTGCCCAGATGGAGGGTCCCGGATGGAGGTGGTAGGGACCCACGGGGTGACCCCAGAGGTGACCTTGCTGGGGTTCTCCCCACCCCTGGCCGCTCCAGGAGCCAGCGAGGCACAGACATGAGAAGGACAGAGGGCTGTTTTCAGAAACCCTTCTGCAGGGCGGGGGAGCTCTTTACTGAGGTGATGAGGGCGTCTAGTTGTCAGGCATCATGACGAGGCGGGGGACCTTCGCCGTGGTCAGATAGGGGGACAGGGCGGAGCTGGCGTAACTCACGCTGTTGGGGCCAGTGGTGGGCGTGTTGATGGGGCTGGCGGCGGAGGGCGGGGAGAGGGTGGTCAGCACCACACCCCCCTCATCCAGGGAGCGCTTGTAGGGGACCGGAGCGTCATTGCGGAGGTCCTGGAAGGCCAGGTAGGCCTGGAATATCTGTGGGCAGAGAAGGGGCGCTGAAGGCTGGGCCGGAGAAAGAGGGACGGGGCCTGGCCTGGCCTGGGAGGGAGACGCAGGGCGCGGCTGTGCCCACTGCTCACTAGCCACCCAGCTCAGCAGCCACCCACACAAGGCCTCAGGCAGGCGGGCGTCTGCTCTCCGATTTGCCTGGGAGCCAGGGAAGGGGCCAGGGAGGCCCAGGGAGCCGCGTGAGCGGGAGGATGGTCCAGCCCTCCCCCCTGCCCCGCAGAGGGTGCCCGTGAGGGGCTCATCCTCACCCAGATGGGGACGGAGAAGAAAGCGAAGGCGACGGAGGCCTTGGCGCTGCTGTTCCCCAGGAGGAACTGTTTGGGCGGCGAACGGTGCCACTGGTTGGCCAGGAAGCAGAAACCCAGGAACCAGGTGCCTGCCCAGAGGACTGGGGGCGCAGGAGAGAAGAAAGTGGGGGGGGAGAGGTTCAGGGAGGGCTGCTGGGCCTGGAAAGGGCCTCTCCCTCCAGCCTCTGTAAGATGTGCTGCTGGAGTGGAGCTGCACTGCCCACGGCCACAGGTGGCTGTTCACATTTCAATCAGTTCAAATAAAATGCAAAATAATTCAGCTCCGCCCGGCCAGTGTGGCTCAGTGGTTTGAGCATCGCCCCACGAACCAGGAGGTCTCGGTTCGATTCCAGGTCAAGGGCACAGGCCCAGGTTTTGGGCTTGATCCCCAGTAGGGGGCATGCAGGGGGCAGCCGATCAATGATTCTCATCATTGATGTTTCTATCTCTCTCCCTCTCCCCTCTTCTCTGAAATCAATAAAAACATATTTTTTTAAATATATTTTATTGATTTTTTACAGAGAGGAAGGGAGAGGGATAGAGAGTTAGAAACATCGATGAGAGAGAAACATCGATCAGCCGCCTCCTGCACACTCCCTACTGGGGTTGTGCCCGCAACCAAGGCACATGCCCTTGACTGGAATCGAACCTGGGACCCTTCAGTCCGCAGGCCGACGCTCTATCCACTGAGCCAAACCGGTCAGGGCAATAAAAACATATTTTTAAAAAATTAAAAAAAAAAAAAAAATTCAGCCCCAGGGTCCCCCTTCAAGAGCCGGTGGCTCCTGTATGGGAAGCGCAGGTACCAAACGTCCCCCCCTCACAGGAGGTTCTCTCGGAGGGCATGGACTCAGTGCCCACCGAGGGCCCTCCCAGCCCTGCGATGCTGGGACTGGCCCTGAGCAGAAGAGGAGGAGGAGGAGGAGGAGGAGGAGGGGAGGAGGGAGGGGAGCAGAGGGCGGTTTCTAGAATTGGCCCAGGGATCAGAAGAACTGACCCTTACGTTGAGTCTAAAGGACAGAGTAATAATTCCCAGGGGAGGGAACTGCAGGTGCCAGTGAGCGTGAGAAGGGAGGGACAGCGCTTTGGGTTCCCCGTGGCCGGCTGGGCAGGGGCGGGCGGGGGGGCTGTGGGCGGTGGCCCCGGCTCACCGGCCAGGATGAAGTCCAGGAGCTGGAAGGCCGTCCGGAAGCGGGTGCAGGCGATGTGGCCCTCGTGGGCGTCCAGGGCCAGGAAGGCCAGGCAGCTGAGCAGGGCCAGGAAGCCGGCCCCCACGGCAAAGCTGCAGGCCACGTTGTTGCTGTTGAGGACACAGCGGAGCTGCGAAGAGTCCGTCTTGTTCTGGTAGCCGTCGGTCAGCAGGGAGGAGAAGACGATGAGGGCGAAGATCTGTGGATGCGGGGGCGGGTCCCAGGGCCCTGAGTGGCGCTCAGCCTCTCCCCAAACCCTCCTGTGCCCCCCTGGGCTCCCCATCTGGAGGCCGGACCCTGCCATCCACCCGGGGGCAGTTCTGGCCCCTCCCTCGCGCCCAGTCCTCTGAGCCTCCACGCCCTGTGCCTGCTGTTGGGCCTCAACCACCTGCCCATCCTCCCAGCTCCGGCCTCCTCTCCCCCTGGGCCCTCGCCACAGCCCCTGTGAGGCCCAGCCTGGTCTGTGCTCCCCCCACTCACCTGGCCTCACCTGCTCCCCTCCCGTCACCCCAAGCTGGTACCTTGCCACCAAACCCAGGTGCCAAATCAAATGCTTCGCCCAGCGCCCGCCCGGACACAGCAGCAGCTCAGTGTTGGCGGCTCGATGATTCTCTGCCTCCAGCTCTTACCGCGGCCTGCAACTCCCTCCTCCCGTCCAGCCTGGCTAATCCCTATTCAGTTTTTATTTTTTTATTTTTATTTTTTTAAATATATATTTTATTGATTTTTCTACAGAGAGGAAGGGAGAGGGACAGAGAGCTAGAAACATCAATGAGAGAGAAACATCACAAGGTACATGCCCTTGACTGGAATCGAACCTGGGACCCTTCAGTCCGCAGGCTGACGCTCTATCCACTGAGCCAAACCGGTTAGGGCCCTATTCAGTTTTTAAAATAAATTTACGAGATGTTCCCAAAATACAGACAAGTGTGGAGAGAGATGTCACCAGCACCCGGGACCTAACAAACAGGAACATGTTCTTTCTTTTTCTGGTTTGTTTAGCACAATGGTCTGCGTCCACGCTCGTCTTCTGCGAGGTGTTTATTAAGCGCCACTGGAGTGCTCCCCACGCCCCAGCCTGTGCCATCCTTACAGCCACCCCGGATGTGGGTCCTTCCAACAGCCCGATTCTCAGGTGATGGAACTGAGGCACCCAAAGCCACCCAGTTAGCAGGGGGCCGTGCTGGGTTCGGACCGAGCTGTCTGGCGCCCGAGTCTGCCTCAGCCCCCTGCTCTACGGCCTCCAGCCGGACCAGGTGCCTGAGGGCAGAGGTTCCTCTCAATGCCACTCAGTGAAAACTCTAAGTCCCGATTATTTGTCCCAGACAGTCGCACTGCAGCGTGGGGAGGTCCGCACCCAATATGGAAGGAACCGGGGCGCTATGGGGTGGGCGCTATGGGGTTGGGGGCGGATCGATCCAGGAAGGCGGCCTGGATGAGGCGATGGCTGTGAGGAGTGACGCAGACTGGGAAAGGCGGGGGTGGGGGGGGATGGGGACATTGCCAGGGGGGGCAATAGGGAGCCACAGCAGGGCGCTGGGTAGCGGAGAGGCCGGGGCAGCTCCGGGTGCATGAAGACCCCTTTGGGGCCGTGTAGAGATGGACTGGAGGGGGTGAGAGTAGAGATTGCAGGCTGGGAGGTGCCTGGGGCCTGGGGTCAGGAGGAAATAGAATGAGATGTGAACTGCATCTTAAAGAATGAGGACTTTTCCAGGCAGACAGAGGAGGAAGGGCATTCCAGGCGGGACGAACCGTGTGTGCTCAAGCCAGCTGCTGCAGAGCGGGGCCCTTCAGGGACTGGAGAGAAATTGCATAAGAAGGAGCCGGTGTGAGGAGGCTGGAAAAGTGGGCGGGGGCCCAGGCTCAAAGGTTGAACACCAGGCGGAGGGATCTGGTACTGGGAGCCGTGGAAAGTGAAACTTCTTACTTGGATTTGATTACATGCAGGGAGAGGTTCTGAGCAGAGGATGGCCAGGGCCAGAGCCGGGAGTTAGCGCAAATCCGCAGGGTCGTGATGGTTCGCAGGGCGCGAGGCAAGAAGCCTACAGATCAGAGACCGGTGGGAAGGCCCAGGCACGAATGCCGAGGACTGAGCTGAGGTGGGGGCTCTGAGGAATCCAGTGATAGTTAGGACCTAAATCAGGAGTTGGGGATTGACTGACGTGGCAGTGCTGGCTGGGACCAGAGCCAGGGGAGGGTGGGGTAGGGGAGTCGATTTAAAAAAAAAGTTTTTATTGTTTTCAGAGAGGAAGGGAGGAAGGGAGAGGGAGAGAGAGAGACAGAGAGAGAGAGAGAGAGAGAGAGAGAGAGAGAAACATCAATGAGGAGAGAGAATCATTGATCAGCTGCCTCCTGCACGCCCCCTACTTGGGATGGAGCCCACAACCCCGGCATGTGCCCTGACCGGGAATCAAACTGGGGACCTCCTGGTTCATTGGTCGACGTTCGACCACTGAGCCACACCAGCCGGGAGGGGGAATCCGTTTGGATTTGAACTCCTTCTGGGCAGGTCCACGGGGGGACCCTTCTATCCTGAGCACCAAGCACCAGCATGCACCTCAGCCAATGTGTGTGAGAAAGGGAATGACCTTGGGCCTTTCTTCTGTGCTCTCGCCCTGACCTTCAGAGTGGGGACTAGGGAGGCAACGGATGGACCCCCGAACTCTCAGCCTCTGTTCCTCCTCTCCAAGCCTTTGTCTTGCCTTCTCTGAATAATAATAACGACAACAATCATGACAACAGTGAGTCCCCCTTTCTGTCCGGAGCGGCGGCACTGACTGAGGGTGTCTGCCTCCATCTGCTTCAGGATGGAGAACCGAGTCCATAAGGGGCGTCTTGCCTGATGGTCCGGGGCAGAGCCAGGTCAAGGACCAGCAGGCCCATCCATCATCTCGGAGCCTGTATCCGTGTTACCTGCCTCACCCCCCCGAAGGCTCCCGCCAGCCCCACACGCTAGCTGTTACCGAG